ATACTCTTTTGGTTTCTGTACCCAATATTTAAAAAATTTACAAATGCAATAAAAATATTGGTATCGGTACTCGGTATCTTTCAGTAATGTCCTTCTGTGACTTATCCTCTTTGTGAAGGGTGTCAGTGATTGTCTTGTGGACCATTGCCAAGTCAAATAAAAAATCTCAAAAATCTCTCACAAATATCTGGTGATTGTTCAACTTCATATGAGATGTGAGGATTCATTATTGAATTTATAGTGCTAAATAAGATTTTAGGGGTATGCGAATGTTTATTGATAATATCAGAAAAGTATTTAGCTCTAGCTATTTTTGCTGCCTTCTGAAAGTTCTCCAGGGATTCTTTAAAAATGTCAACAGAGACCGTAAGATTATCTTTTTTCCATCGCCGCTCTAAGCAATGGCTGGACAACTGCATGCTTCAAAAACGCAGGGACAGTGCCAGAAACTAAGCAAGAATTAATAATTACTTGAATACTAGGACCAATTGTATCAAAAGCAACTTTAAAAAAGTCAGAGGGAACAGCATCATAAGTTGAATTTGAAGATTTCGTCTGCATCACTAATTCCCTTAACTCAGAGAGAGACACCGGCTGAAAGCTGCACAAGGTAGCTGAAGAAACTGAACAGTCGACCAAAGAGCTAGAACAAAGAGGAACAAATGAAGATTGAATGCCAGCAATCTTTTCAATAAAAAATCTCAAAAATCTCTCACAAATATCTGGTGATTGTTCAACTTCATATGAGATGCGAGGATTAATTATTGAATTTATAGTGCTAAATAAGATTTTAGGGGTATGAGAATGTTTATTGATAATATCAGAAAAGTATTTAGCTCTAGCTATTTTTGCTGCCTTCTGAAAGTTCTCCAGGGATTCTTTAAAAATGTCAACAGAGACCGTAAGATGATCTTTTTTCCATCGCCGCTCTGCTTTTCGACAAATCTGTCTAAGCGAACGAGTGGAGTCATCCAGCCATGGTTGTGATTTAAATTTTGGACATTTATATTTCAGGGGAGCTATAAAATCCAGGATATCTGAACAAGAAGAGTTAAAGAGAGAAATTAGATCATCTGGACTTGAGGAATGTTCAGCAGCAACTGAAATTGCTGTGGACACTTCATTACTATGATACATATCTGAAAACTGATTAGCAGTGAGAGAGTTGATGCAACGAGAATAAAAACCTGTAGTTTTTATAGTACTCAAAAAGCTAGATAGGGTGACATTAAATACAATGGGCTTATGATCTGAAAAGCAAGCATCTTCAATGTTTATGTTATCAATGGAAAACCCATAAGACATGATAAGGTCCAGGGTGTGGCCAAGTACATGTGTAGCCTTATCAACATGCTGAATAAAACCAAAAGAATCTAAAACATGGATAAACTCAGCAACCATGGGCTTTCCAGGACAGCAAACGTGAATATTAAAATCACCTAAAATTAACAGACGATCATATGATGTGATAATATGAGAAACAAATTCAGAAAACTCTTTTATAAAATGTTTATCTGGCTTTGGGGGCCTGTAGACCAAAACACAGAATAGCGGAGTGGTAGCAGAATCTATCAGAACACATTGAGATTCAAAAGTGGTAAAGTTCCCAACAGAGACAGTCCGAGATTTAAACCAGTTCCTGACCACTCCACCTACTCCACCTCCTTTTCCAACACATCTCGGAGTGCTAAAAAAACAACAGTTTGAAGGACAAGAAACGGACGCAGTCCAGGTCTCAGTTATAAATAAGAAATCCAATTCGTGTCTAGTAAAAAAGTCATTCAAAATAAAAGTCTTATTAGACACAGATCTGGCATTTACCAAGGCCATCTTAACGTGGGAGACAGAAGTTTGTGCTTGTGATTGACGGACATACTTCAATGATTTAATATTTTGAAGATTCACACCCCTTCTTTGGACGCGCAATCGAGGAGGAGCGCAGAAATCAGCCGACTGCCACTGGTCCAGTATAATGGGCAGATGACAGGCATATCTCACATCCCACGAACGCCGAGCCAGGTATAAACCACGGTAGAATAGAGAGTAGAATAGAGTCAAATCATAAAATTAAAAATGTTGTTCTCCTATTAATATTTTGTTAAATAAGAGATTACTCAATTTGAGTGTATCAATGATTTGGTAATAAAAAAATATATATTTTATTTAATACAAAAGAGTTTGTCCATGTCCCTTGAATGGTTGTCCACCCTGTCGTATTGGGGAATCTGCCCCTTTAAGAAAAGGCCATCCCCTTTAGTGACATCAGGACTACAAATCTTTTGTCTCTTCAGTGGCGGGAATTTCAACGGCTGAGGTGAGTAAGTTGGTGACTTTTCAATTGACAAATTTTCTTCATATGAGTTTGGTTACTTGCTTTGCCAAAGCTTAACATGTCCACCCTGTCTGCATAAAATATGCCAAAAGTGATTAGAATACAGTATTTTCGAAATATGTAAGTTTAAGTATACCTAACTATTTACTAACTATAACTAGTATACTAACTGTTTAGCTAGTCACAGTTTGTTGTAAGCTAATATGCTAATTGAAGCTCAAAATGTCCACCCTGTCGGCCACTTAGACTCATGACACATTCATGATACATGACAGGGTGGACATAGCATTCATTTGTAGTTAATGTTGCTAAAAACTAAAATGAAGGGGGGGAGGGGGGAGATTGT